CTTCCACTTCAGTCCCCATGAGCGGACCAAAAGTTCGCTGATTGAGCAATGCATAAATTGGGGGTGCATTGGTGATACCGAACGGCATCACCGTGTAACGGAACTTGCCAAACGGCGTGACAAACGCCGTGTAGCCACGAGCGCGTGGTGTAAGTTACACCACATAGTAGCCACTGAAGCCATCCAGAACTGAATAATACTTTTTTCCTGCCAGCCTGTCCAAACATGCTTCGGCGTTGGGCATTGGCCACTGGATTGGAACAGTTGCTTCGTTCAGCCGACAGCAGCTGTGGCACATTCCATATGCCCCCGACTTCTTCTTGGGAAAGATTGTCCCTGCACCCCATGGGCCATAATACTCCTCAATCATGTTTGCAGCCAGCAGCTCAGCACAGCGAGTACGAGCAAAGACCTCAATTTCTGGTGGCCAGCGTTGACTCTTTCTTGTACATATGGGCTTCGTCCCAGGCTGCAACTCAATGCCGCATCGAACTAAACTAGTGCGACCCAGCTCGCTCAATTCATGAGCAAACAGAGTTCCATATCGACACACTAAGGCATCGAACACTGCTCGCTGCTGTGGTGTCGCAGCATCACCAACATTCAAAGTCTTCACATTGTCCACTGTGATGCGAAAACAGTCAGCAACCGGTGGCATGCAATGAATTGCATCAGCTGCTACTGGTTGCACACCACGACCTGCCTTGCGGACATCCCACAAAAGCCCCGTACTCTCATAACTCATCCCACCGGTTCTTTTGGGATCACCAGCGGCTGCATTGCTCTCAGTTCCTCCGAAAATATCGTTAAAGGCGATGCACAAAGTGGTCTCTTCGAACTGCGCGGCCAGTGCAGCCTTGTTGGTCGCAGTTTTTTCTTGATTCTCCATAATGTTGACGTTCTGATTGACGTCTTCTGCACTTGATTCCACTTTTGGCTGCAGATTGCCCCGCACCAGTCCAGAATCGTCATTTGGCGCAAGAACAGTACAATTATCTTCTGGCTCATCTTGCAGCGGCAGCTCATTGGCTGGCACATCTGGTTCATCAGATTCGTCTTCACGAGTCACCAGCACCAGATATCCCTCCGCTATTTCTTCCTCCAGCTCTTTTGATTCCATCTCTTCATTGGTCACTTCGCTCTCTGATCCACAATCATCAGAATTGTCAGACTCACTGGTCATCATTTCAGTTTCACCATTGATTGCTCCAGTTTCTTGAGTGATGCAATCAAGCAGCTCACAAACGCGTTCAGAATCAGTGAGCTGCGCCGGCACCCCCACCAACCGCAAGAAGCCGCCCTCGGCGTTCTGAATAAAATGCGAATCTGTACCCCAGAAAGAAACGACCTGGTTAAGCCTCAGCCAAAGCTTGCAAAGAAGTGCTGGGTATCCTGCGTTGGTATGCATCAAATGAAACAACACATTGGCTGTGACTCCGGCGACGTCGACACTAGTCTTGACGTATCCAAGCAAAGATCGCCGTCCACCATCAGCCATACGCACCACAGCACCACTTGGACCCAATATGCGCAGTCCACATGCTTTGGCCGCCTCAGGTTCCATCAGATTCAGCATTGCTCCTGGGTCAATGACAACACCTTGGCAGGTTCGATCTGCAATGTGGCAATCAATTCTGATTGCCCTTTATGTTGTCAGCTTGTGAACTTCAGCTGCCATCACTTCTGGCGCTCTTGAAGTTGGTTGCACACTCGCTTCTGGATGTGTACTGCTCATAGCTTGTGGATGTGAGCTTCCTTCTACTTCCATAGCCTCTCCTTCTGGTTTTGGTTTCTTTGGCCTGTCCAGCGCAATCCCAGTACGCAATTCATGCCGCATTGTTGGGGACACTTGCAGCAGCTGCCCCAATGAAATAGAGATAGGCAGATTGAACAATGCTTCAGACACTTGGAACTTGGGTTTCCCCCGGCCACAGACAATTTCTGTTAGTGGAGTGAGTGCGCTTCCTGCGATCTCCCACGTGCTTGACACAAACTCTTTTCTTGCCTGGTTTTTCTTTGTCTTCTTTACCAGAAAATGCTTCCAGCTCCATTGTCATAGCATCATGGCTACCTTCGTCATTCACACGACGACCTGCTGATTGTCGTGGATGACTTTGAGATAGGTCATCAGGACCTCGAATGTCCTCAGCACGGACATTTGTGGTGGTCCCAAGAGGCGTCATATTTGCCCCTGTCAATGGTCGACTTCCACCAGCATTGCTTGAGTTGTTTCCTTGACGCCAATTATCATTGCAATCTGCCCTGCCACCAACAATTGAACTCTCTCTCCATGCCATTCGTCCTCCGCCTCTTCCTCATCCTCTGCCGCGAACTGATCCTCCCCAAGTCCCAGTAAAATGACTTGGTTCTGTATGCTCTCTGGACCCCATTGAAGTGACCATCATGGTAGTCAGGTCACTCATGGACTGGGCCAATTTCTCCACGTTTCGCTGCAGCCCTTCGATGTCTGTCTTGTCGGATGTTGTAGTCTGACTCCTCATGAGCTCACCAGCTGCAGGCAACTTTCCTTCCATAAGAAGCGTGGCCTTCTCCACTTTCTTTGCTTCTGTTACTGCATGGTCGAAATCAGGAATTTTTGCTTTTAAAACATCCAAGCGGAACTCCCTTTTCAGACCCATCACCCAATAACGCCGAAGAGCATTGATGGGAACCCCGTCCCCATCAAATGCTTCCCGTTCAGTATGCAAGCATCTGTACCGCTATAGGAGGCTACAGATTTGTCCTCCACTTGTTTAGGTTCATGCAGAGCACATTCAATCTGCTCCAAGTACCCAGAAGGTCTGAATCTTGCAACAAGCGCAGCCTCAAACTCATCCCATGTACGCTCATCATCTTCCCAATGAGTGGCCCTTTTATTGTACCATGTTTCCGCCTCCTGTTCAAACACTATTGTAGCATTAGCAATCTTTGCTGCTGATGTGTCCCAAGCATTGCTTCTTGCCACTCTCAAAAAGTGCTTCACCCATACTCCCGGGCCCTCACCCCTTCCAGTGAACGGGCCGGCTTTTGGCTTGACACCACGCATCATATTGCTTTACAATGTACTGAGCACTGCCACGTAGGCCTCACTCGTGTTCTGCCATGATGCTTTGGCGATAAACTGGCGATGCTCCCGCAATCGTTGTCGATTCTGTTGTTGCTGTGTGGCATGCACGTGACCTCTCTGACACTTCAGCAACCAACAGAATCTGCAGTACCGTCACAGCTCCGTGCTGTGATGTGACGGCACTCGTACTGCTCCAAGCCGTAGCACGGCACCACGAAAGTTTGCCGCGTTGACCGCCAACCCTTGGGGGTAACGCGAATCAGTCAGCGCTTGATCCCTTGGACGGCAACTCAGCCTGCTGGCTACGGCACTCCCACCGACACGTTGTCGCGCTGCCCGTTGGGATCGTTCCCGACGTACGGTTTCTGCCATAGACAGATCAACGGTGGAAGTCTGACGCCAAACTGACCCACAGCCCAAGCAAAGGCTGGCCGCCCTTGGCGCCACTGACAAAACGCTTCAGAAAGGCTGCGCGAAGTGAACGTCGGGCAGTTAGAGTCTCGCCGCAGTCACTCGCCAAAAAGATGGCTTGAATCTTCGATCCCGGAAGAGTTGTCAGACGGGATTGTCCGGCGACGTAAAGCTGTTGCGCGCTCGACACTCAGTTCCCTCCAGGTTGCAACGAGCAATCCTGGTCCGTGTCTCGACTCGCTCACCCCCTGCCTCGGGTGCCACTTGACGAAGACGGGCAGGATCGAAGGGTGGCGATCCCTGGCTGGGGATCGTAAGCTCGAGTCCACGGGAACGGGTTTACAGCCGAGCAAAGAGACAACGGTGGTCTGTCTCTTATATCCAGTGCGTTCATCAACATCCTTAATACAGCTCCTGATGTTTCATCAGCTATTAATGTGTTCAACTGTCATTAACAACCAATCAGTTCTCGTTGCATCAACGACACCTAGTTGTGTTTCTGCGATAGGATGCCGTCTTAGGGACCTTTGGTAAGGATGGACTGCAATTGCAGCAGGGGAGCGCGACCTCATTCTCAAGGCCAATATTGCTACCCTCACGCCCACAGACCATCAGTTACAAAACTCGAGGATCCTTTGCTCCGGCGGGTCATAAAGGCCGGCATGCTAACATGAAGGTTCAATCTGCACTCGATCGTGTGTCCGGAAATTCGGCAAACACATGCCGTGCGTTGATTGGATACCCTGATCTCCCTAGAACGTCCACTGCGATCCCCAAGTCCACATGCACATATCGCTATGACCAAAGCATGAAAACAATCAATTCATCACCAGTCGCTTGAGATTAGTAATCCCTTTCCGATAGGCCATCTGTCCACTACGCCATCTTGATCCTTTGCAAGGAAGAAGGGTACTTGCACCTGGCCAACCGACAGCACAGGAATGAGTGCCGCAAGCGCAACAAGAAAATCAGCCGTGAGCAAAGTGGAGGAGGCGATCGATGGGATGCAGCGCTGGACATGAGAGAAGGCAAGAAGAAGCACCGTTTTGATGGGTGTAAAACGATCAACAGTGGACAGGCTGCCAAAATGAAAGACCACAAATATTCCATGTGGTGCATCGCGATGTTCCCCACGCGCGTCATGTCGATTTTTCACCGCCAGTGCACGGCTCGGCATGCGCAAATGGAAGCATTTGTCATGCGCAGAAAATCACATGCAGAGAAGTACTGAAAAGACATTGGATTTGGCGGCAAGTGGCGGCTGCGGTCGGCTTTGCCAGCTCGCAACCTTCTAACCAATCTCCGGATTCGGCGTTTGGACATTCAAAATATTGGCATCCACGAAGAATATTGGACTCACAAACATCTTTGGAATTTCCCAATCCACAGCGCGGCCCGTGCATCAGCACGTGAGAGAAAAGGAAATGGAAAGGAGGAAAAAAGAAAACAGAAAAGGGAAAGACAACAAGAATAAATAAATGAAGAGCTGCCGTGCCGCACCGTCCGCAGCGCTCCTCGCTTTTCAGCGGGTCCACGTCAGGGTCAGTGTGTGCTCCTCGCCGGGGGCGACCTTTCTCGGCGCGCGGTGCAGAGCGGTGATGTCATCGGGGCAGATCGTCGTGAGGGAGTCCAGAACGACGCGATCGTTCAAATCCTGCGCGGACACGCGAATGCTTACGGATCAACACCAATGGGACACACGCAAATGGTGCCACCTGCGATCAACACAGCGCAGCACAACTTTCGGGACGCCGTTCGACACTGGCTGATTATAGAACCGCTGATTTGATGCCACCGCATTCACTGCGGTGACGCCCTTAGGAAAACGCTATGTCGAAATTGGTACTCTTCGCTTCAAATTGGCGTTTGTATCAAATCCCCCTGCCCCTCCCCTTTTAACGCCAACCACTATGTCGATGCCAAGATTGCTCAACAGCAATCCCTGATCGTGCATAACAACTTCGCGATGTTTTAAGGAAGCCAGATGCCATACCTGCAGAGATTGCAATGATCAAAAACTTGATATGCATAATGCGCCCCAAGGGATGGTAACAGCCTTCTTTGAGATGGAGCGTTTGGCCGAGGTTCTGGAACACGCCAGGAGCTTGTACGCCACTGATCGACGTCATTGAGGGTGTCTATACAGCTCATATCGATCTTTCAATAACGCAGTTTCTTAGCGTCGCGTCTCTCGATCGTCGAGCTGAAATTAAGCGTAGCGACGGTTCCTCCCATATTGTCAAAATGTCATCGCAAAATGGTTGTTTTCCGCCAGTGCAAGGAATTTACCCTATGCGCAATAAACCAAGAATGACTGCGCAATTTCGGTCCTTTCTTGGCACGTGCAAAATGAGTGGCGATTTCAGCAGACGGCAGTCAGTGTTCTTAACGAACACGGAATGTGGCGTACAACGGGAAAGTTTGAACGAATATTGGAGCAAGCGACCGCATCATTGGTGAATTGGGTCATCGTATGGCATCATGACAACTGCGCATGGCTATGGCACATTATGGAAACCACATATTACGACATGGTGTGATGATGATGAGATTAAAGTCTTGGAGCCACAACGATCAGCACAAATCACACAAGTATGTGCCGAGTTGCTTGGAGCACACAGAAGTTAGCCGCCAATCCACGGGAGCATTTGCTCCGGGGCTTCGGAAACACAAGACAGCGGTTTTCAGGACGATCGTAATTGCGGCGGGCCGAATCACCTGTGTGGGCCTGTTGTTGGTTGTGGCTCCCACGTCCAAGCACAGAAGTGCACAGGCCGGCGAAATGCCGTCGCAGTTCTGCCTGCAGAGGTCATTGTTGTTGCCGAAGTTGTCCGCTAATTGCTCAACCTGGAAAAAGAGGGCACTGGCAACAATCAAAAGGACGCCACTGTCCCGACATTTTGCCGTCGATCCAAAACACGTCCTTTCTTTTACGCCAATATACAACAAGCCCTTTATTTGGCTTCCAGTTGGAAGGTGGGGAGGGATTTCGACGGTCGAGGTAGGCGGTCAACAGCGATTTAAGCTGCTCATAGTGTGATCCGCCCCGTTCTTGGGGGTCAGTTGGTGTAAAATCGGGCACAAATTTCGGGTCAGTGAGGCTGCAAAATGGCTGGCGATGGCATAGTCGGTTGGTTGTGGAAATCGCGCCCCTCAAGCCTCTTCCGTGTTAACAAGCGAAAAATCCGAATACGCCTCGGCATGACTCGTTCGAAATCACGATAAAATTGTGTTAGAATGCCGGCGCCTGAAATGGTTCAGCGCAACGTAACCTCACAAGCTGTGCACCGGCGTGAGCGTGCCTGGGGGGCCTTCACGACGGCATGACGTTTACGTGTGGGATACATCTCGCCGCATGACGTACATACAAGGATGTGTCCCGCCAAAAAACAGCATGCAAGATGTGGCCATTTCTTCTGGAGAAGTGCGCAAATATCTGTAACACAGGCGCATCGCGGCATTTCACCTGCGCTGCAGACACGCTCTGCGGGTTCTGGAACATGATCCACGTCACCCTCTCGTCGCAGGTGGGAGTCGTCAGGCTGCCGTTCCAGTAGTAGTAGTCCATGCTCGAGGGCATGAGCTCGGCCAAATCCAGCTCCCCCAGTGCTTTCTGCGATCACAGGCACCGGGTCCGGATGTCAATGGATCAAAGCGCCAGGCGCCAGGCAGCGAGGAGGCGGGGCAGTGGCCACACTCGCCGCACAGAGCAGAAAATGCTGTTCGTCGTTCGCTGCAAGCTGTTGTAACGAGCAGCGATCTGCCAGAGTCAGGCGGTCTTACCGCTTCCTTGCCCCCTGCTGACGAGACGCTGAGGGACGAGCTGTCGACGCTCCACACGCCGTACGTGCCCTCGTCCGGGTCGCTGATGTCGGCCGTTCCGAGCTTAGCGCTGGCATCGAAGAGGGAGGCGATAAAGGTGTTTTGCACATCGGCGGGGCTTGCCTCGAACAGCGTGGAGAAGACCACGAGGCAGTTGACCTTGTTGCCATCGGGATCCCAGCAGTCGGCGACGTCCGTGGGCACAGTGGCCACCAGGTGGGCCTCCATCGCAAAATGGACTCCTATGAAAGGGGCCACGCCATGGCAATATTGATGTTGGAGCTTAGCGCCAAGCAAAGGGTGTCACATATTTGAGGTGCCCGTCGTCTCAGCCGCGACGGCAAAACGACGGAGGAAAGTACGCAACAAAGAAGACACCAATTATCCTCATCTAAGAAGACACAAATAGTATCTGCGCGCCTTTGAATCCAAACATCGCACTGACCAAAAGAGTGTGTCCATCGGCACCCATTTGTTACGGCATTTGGGCCTCTTCGTGGACTTCTGTCACACTACCGATCTTTTCTCGAGGCCTCGGAACCAATCGGCCCTAAGGCCTAACCCTTGTCGGGGCTTGGCACTCACCGTTGATGGTGTTCTCGCTGGGCGTGTGGAAATGGAATTGCTTGGGCGTCACCGCCACGAAAGTGACGTCATCGTCGTCGTTGTCGTCGCTGTCGTCACTGGATTTCACGACGCCGTGAACCTTGCGGTCTAGGGGACAAGAAGTGACGGTCAGGGCTGGAGTTCAGGCAACGACCTTCGCATTCTTCAGGCTTGCGCCATCGCTGGAGCCTGGGAATTTGGAAATTGATGGTTTCGAATTGAATGCTGAAGCGCGACTGTTTGAATGCGGCAAACTGACCTTTTGCTAATGCCACAAAATTGTACTAAATGCACAGCGACGCTGTATTTATGAAACAAATCGCTTGAAATGCAGGCGATACGGGATCTCCGAAGTCGCGCTTTAGGATTCATGTCCCCTGGGACAATGGACGCAGCAAATCGTCGATCTGGAGACCGCATATCCAAGTGGCATTGTAAAATCAATTGCGAAATAGAATGCAAATATTCTATTGTCCACTTCCAGATGTTTTGTCTGCACGAACATGCGGACGGCTAGAAAGGCCACTTCTGACACGCGAAATGAAATAAATCTATTGCCGCCGGCATGAAATGGCGATACAGCCGCCAGCCAGTGGGTATCCAAGTGTCTCGGGCGCCATTTCTGCTGCGCAAGCCGAATTGACGTCGCTGCTGAGAACACAAATGACGGCGTGCAGATGTCAGTTGTCTAATCAGCCAACTGGCTGATAATTAATAGGTCAACTGCTAGCTCTCAGCGCGGAATGCCGCGTCGTGCGAGGCCTCGCGCTCTCAACATCACTCCATGGGCGGCGCTCCGCATCCCCACCTTTCACCGGCACCCTGACATTCGTGGTGAAACTGTCGATGATAACCTCGAAGGTCTGACCCACATTCTCGGCTTCCGCCTCCACCGTCCCCCACCCGTCGAACGCAATTTTGAAGACCTCGTCGTCGTTGCTCTCACTGCTATCGCTGTCGTCACTGCAGAGCTTCACGACATCTGTGGACAGCACCGATCAATGTGGGTAACATAATCATACAATCAACTACAATGTTGTGTGTGTTTGGGCAAGAAAACCGTGTAACCATTTGCAGCGTTATCTATGTTTTGTAACGTGGTATGTAACCATTATACTAGTATTTTTGCGATCTGGTGGACGGTGCAATTTCTATTTTCGCGCCCAAGGCACCGAATTCAGTAGCTAAGTTGCTTTGCGTTCCCGCAATCACGGCGAAAACAGGGTAGCACAAATTTTCCGAAATGATGGCGGGTGATCCACCTGGAACGGCAGTGCCCAATCACTTGTCGCTGGACAGCACAGTGGCTCCGAGCAAAGTAGTTACGAAAGGAAAGTGTACTCTGTAAAGATATGTAATATCAAGAAAATGCAAGGCGCCATGTTCCAACATGTAATCCATGATCCGCCAATATGTGACCGCGGCCCCTTTACACGTGCTTTTTCAACGCTTGAGCAGTGGTCAAGCAAGTGAGTGCAGGCATCTGGGAAGTGACAGTAATCAGCTCGAAAATTCGGTCAACCTGCATTGCGCCTCTCGGCTTTTCTCATTCGGGATCGCGCTGCCTGCGACACTGCAATTATCACACCATTCTAGTAGTATATCATTTTGCACCGATGTCTATCGCATACTGTTTAACACCGATACCTATCACATATCGTATTGCACCGGTTTTGCAGCGACGAGGAGCGATCCTTCTAAGCGGCCGCACGCCCTTCAACACTCACTCGCCGTCTGGATGTCGATGGGGGACTGCACGAGGCCGCTGCCGCAGGTTGGAAACTGCACGGGCCAGAAGGCGTTGGGGTTGGTGTAGTTGAACTGCTCGGCGGCCTGTGAACAGCGCACAGAGGAAGGAGATCACTGGGCAGTATTGGCAACAAAGATAGCAACAACTTTTCTCAATTAGCATTCCGACAATTCGACAGCGAACGACTTGCGCCTTGCAGCGGCGCGTTGTTGATGCCCGCTGCAGGAAGCTGGCGGCGTTGCTGAGCGCCCAAGCGCCGTCTGCGACACTCCATGCAGCACTACCGCCCTGCCGCGTTTGCGAGCGGGCCGCCACCCTCGTGCATTAGCAGCGCAAACATACAGATCTGTGCAGAGTTTGTGTCGCTACAATATACGAGTTGCTGCTCACAGCACACTGTGCTCCTGCACACTGTTGTATTGCGCGCTTTACCGTGGCAGACAATGCGCCGTCGAGGGCCCCATTGCGTGGCCAGCGAGAGCGACTGCCCCGCCACCTGACGCACGGCCCCTGGTGACGTCATCCAGACGCCAAATCTACATCCAGCGATCCGAGACGCCGAAAATTAGTCCGTATTAGCATTGCCGCATTTAAATTGTATTCACTTGGTTCCCTTAGCATTTTCCCATTAGCGGGGCCCTCAGTTACCCTTAGAACCACTCTTGAAGTCACCCTGCAGCGGGGCGAGCGACAGCCCCCCCCGGTGACGTCATCCAAACGCCGAATCGACACCACACGGTCCGAGACGGCGTCAAACGGGCTCTCAGCGACACCGCCAGGAAGCGCAGCCGTGCCCAAGTCTTGAGAAGCCCCTTCCCCACCCCACCCCCACCCCACCCCCACCCCCCGTCGACCTGGCGGCCCTTGCGACGCGCTCGCTAAAGCCATCGGCGCCCTATTGGACAGTTCCACCTCGCGAGGGCGACTGGCCCTTTCCGAACGGATTCGAAGACGCGATGTGCAGCTCCGGCGGAAGGTTGGGGCGGGGCGGGTGCATGTGCATTTGCCCCCCCCTCCCCCGCTGGGAGCTAGAACTGAGAAAACGCAAATGGGCCACGCGTTTCGCGGCGTGCCCGCAATGAGCACCGAGCGCCCAGCGCCTCCCACCCGAGACCTCGGGGCGGGTGGTTCACTCGACCGCGGCGGTCCGGGCGCCGGCACCTCGAGGCGGGCTGATAAAAGCCCCGCCGTGCGGCGGAACGCGCCCAGTAACAAGAGAAGGAAGCAAAGGTAATTGCCAGGACGGCACCGAAGTCACCCAAAGCCACTTTCGGGCGCCCATGGCCAGTTGTTGCCCGCCCCCCCCCCCCACCCCCACCCCCATCGACCGTCTCCACCGAGATCCATTGTCGTTTGCTCCGCCCAGTCAACGCCGCGGCGAGCCCATGGGAGACAGTACCGGACAGGCAGACCCTGGAGCGCAAACCCTGGAGAGGCAAACCCACGAGCGCGGCAGCAAACCCGCGGGCTGTTGTTTCGGCCGAAAGAAGGGCCCAGGTTCGAAAGCCGCGTCGGAGGGAGGGCGCCGCGGATGGCCCCGCGCGACGGCCCTCTCTGCGGCACGGTGCCCAGCTCCCCTTGTGGAAATCATCGCGTCACGTGGACATTGCCAATTTTCATCTGCCCTGCGGCTTTTACAAGCTGCATAGATCGAGACGCACGGAGGGCCAGCGCGGTGACGGGGCCGAAAAGAGTCGAGGGTAAAGAAACGATGCACGTTCACAGCCACGCCGAGGGCGAGGATTGGAGTCGCCATGGCACACGGAATGACTTCCAGGCCACCGAGATCGACACCCCCTGTGGGCCGACGCGGTGAGAGGGACGCAAACATTCGAATAAACGAGCGGATGGGCGCTCACCGCGGCGCCCAGGGCGAGCAGCACGAAGGAGAGGGTCGCGACCGCGAGGCGCGCCATGGCTCCCGTTGCCTGGACCCGAGAAATCAAGCCGGCGGTGGTGGTGGGAGGGCGGGGTGTGGGGGCGGATGCTGGCTGGAGCGTCCAGCGCCCTTTATGCGGCACGAAGCTCTGCACCCCGATGCCGCCACGTGTAAGGAGTGACCCGCGTCACACCGGCTGGGGTGCTGCGCAGGGAGGGCCCAATATGAGCGCCCCTACAGGGGCCCGGTGTGACCAAATCGGTATTCGGGTTCGCATGCCGTGTGGGGATGTGCTACGTGGTGCGGAGGCGTACGCGGGAGTGCGCATGGGAACTCGCGTGGTCGTGACAGGTCTGGGCGCCCGGTTGACGACACGCCCCGGAAATCCCCATCATCTCCTTTCCGCTGATGTGAGCACAGCAATCTCGTGTGTGAGATTGTTGATTGATCCGGGACGGCCGCTTGAAGCGCGTCCGGCATGCGCAGCCCCGGTACTCGTGATCATCCTTTTTCCCGTCGTTTGTGTTTGCGTAACTGTGCATTGGTCGGCTTGTTTTGGTCGGTTGCCAGCACGGTGTCCGCGAGCGATGTGCGAGTGGCTGGGGTGGTGTGACACCGGTGTCTGTCCGGAATGGGGTCACACCGCCGGGGGGCGCCGGGAGCGGGGGGGCCAATGGGAGGGGCGCGACCGAGCGCCCCACAAGGCGCCCGGTGTGAGCAAATCGGCGCTCGAATTTACGAGACGCGTGGGGGTCAGCATGCCCCCAGTTTGCACGAGCACGCTGGCGCGGGATGTGCATTACTCGGCGCCTCGGGGCGTACATGGGAATTTACCCGTGCTTGATTGGTCAAGGCGTACAGTTCATGGCAAGTCCCGGGAATCCTGATCGTGCCTCTTCCACTTGCGTGACTGTTGATTGATCGTGGACGGTCCCTCGGCGCATGTCCGGGATACGCCGCCACCGGATTCATGATCATCCTTTTTTGATTAGG